CAAAAATCATTTTAATAACTGTATGTTGTATATGAGGAAGTGCTAAAAAATTATTCCAAAAGTTTTTTAAATATAATAATAGAAACTATAAACCACTTCAGAAAGTGACTCCTGATTGAATTTCACTTTCCTTTAATAGGAATATAATCCCCACCATTTTCTTTTTTATGAACTTCCTTGTGTACAGTGTAGTTCTTAAGTAGGTTATATATATGGATATCTCGTTCCTTCAACAAAAGTATAAGCTTTTACATACAGATAGGCTGGAATGAGTAAGAAGTTATATGTAAATGAACAGAGGAACAAGTAATTAAAAATAAGAAACAGCTAACTCATGATAGTAGGTTTTTACATGTTTTTGATATGCATGTATAAATATATTATTTTGCAGGAGTTCTAATTCTCATCTATGATTTTTTCCTTTTTTTGTTATAAAAGTTGAATCAGTTTAAATATTCTTTGTTCAAAATAATGGACTGCAAGAAAGAATTTTTAAAAACTGTCTTTAAAGACAGAAGGGAAAGCCGAGTTGACATGACATTGCTGTAACCATTCATCAAATGGAGAATCTAAAGTTGTCTTTAGCCATATTCTTCTTTTTATATTTCTAAATTAGCGTGTTCTTTGTTGGGTGCTTATTTGGTTCACACTCACTAACCTTGAGAACTCTTCCTTCTAGCTCCCCCCTGAAACATACACATGAAGGGAGAGAGAGAAAGAGAGACAAGTGGGTTCCTGTAGTGATAACGATTACATGTAACTGTGGCCTCCTGACACAATTGACTACACCAGGTGGACACTTCTGGAAAATTCAATTCACTCATCCTTTCTGGTCAGTCAGATACACTCTGGAGGATGTGGATTGATGGATAATAAGACTAAGAGTCAAGGGTAGTCATCTAATACTGGCTTGTTAAGCAGATATGAAATCACCGAAACTACCTTGAGTAGTTTTGATGACTCCTTGAGGGTGACTAGTTCTACTCTCTTTAGAATCTATGAGATACACCCCCTTTGTCCTGCCCTAAGTTCTTAACCTCTTTTTCTGCTCTCTTTCTTTTTATCTGAGAGGATTTCTTTTAACTGCAACTAAATGTGCCTTAAGACACTTTGAAAAGATATATATATATATATA